GTTATTTGATGGTAAATGGAAAGGACTGGAAGACATCATGCTAAGTTAAATAGGCCAGACTCACAAAGTCAATGGTCAAATATTTTCTCTCATATGTGGAAGGTAGAGAGAGGAAAAAATAAAGGAATAAAAAGGTATCTCACAAAAGCAGAAGGAAGACCAACAGAGTAGAGGAAAGGGATCTAGAGGGAGGGAAGAGGGGAAGGCAAGGAGAGATATTGGGAAACTAAATCAAACAAATTATGCTATATCCATGTACAAACATAACCAAAAATGAATCCCACTTTGTATATAATTATAATGAACTAATTAAAAGAATAATAGAATGGAGCCCAGTAGAGTAGTAGGAGGCATGGGGGAGGGAAGAAAGAAGAAAAGGGGGAAGTTCCAGGGAATGAAATTGATCAAATAATGTTGTGTGCATGTATGAATATGTCACAATGAATCCCACTATTATGTGCAATTATAATGCATCAATAAAAACATAAAAAGATAGTTTTGTTTTTCTTTTCATTGTGTATGTGTGTACAGAGATTATAATTAAGCCAGAAGAGGAAACTAGAAAAAGAGAATGAAAGTACAGAAAATGGCGGCAGAAAAAAGCAGAAAGAGGGCTGAGAAAAGTGAGGAAAATTGATGGAGAAAAGTCCCAAGATAAATAGGATGCCTTGAACAGGAGGTGAGTCAACCCAAGACAGAAAATGAAGATACTTGAAATAGGTGCAGAGGTAAATATGTTTGGGGGGAATGAAGTAAGAAATTAAAAATGACATGAGACTTATGGCTCTATCACAAAACAAAATACTTAGGAATAAATATAACACAAGTAGTATAAAACTTATATTTTGAAAACCACAAAGCGTTGCTGAAAAGAATTAAAGACGACCTAAACAGAAAGAAAGATAGACAGGCAATATTCTTAGATTATAAAATTTAATATGGTTAAGATGATAATACTTTTCAATGACCTACACATTTCATGAAATCCTTAACACGATCATTATTGACTTCTTTTCAGAAATTGACAAGATGATACTAAAATTCATAAGGAAACACAAAGGACCCAGAATAGCCAAAATTATCTTGAAAGGGAGAAAAAAATAGAGGACTCACATTTCCCAATTTCAGAACTTTCTACAAAGCTAGAGTAATGCAAATTTATATGCCAATTTAAAAAATCTTTCTAAAAACATTGTGGTACTGGCATAAGGATAGGTGTTAGGAGCAGTGATTTGAATTACCGTCTCTTACTGTCCTACGGCAGGAGCTGAGTGCCTGTGCTAGGTACTTCTTGTGCAAAGGCACAGGTCAAGACTGCCCAGTTGCTATGGTAACACCCTGCTTAAAGGAGACTCTGTGTTAGGTACAACACTATCAATCTTGACCCTGAGTTCAGACACTAGCTCCTGGGGGTAGAGAATTATGAGTGCAAAAACGATAATTGTAATTGACTGCCCATTACTTTATCCTTCAGCCTGCCTGCTTTGAAGAAACTTTCTCACAGAAAACACTTTTGATGACAATATCTATATAATAAACATGCTGAGCTAGCTCTGGCTCATTGTTCTCTATATGGGTATGATGTCCCACCTGGTCTCAGCTTTCTCTCTCTTTCTTTGTCTGTCTTTTCTAATCTCCCCTGACTCCTCACCTGTCGGTTGTGGCAGACAGGCATAACACAGGTAAAAGGTACAGAATTGAGAACCCAAAAATCTCATATTTATAGTTAATTTTCTACACAGATGCCAAAACAAGTAAGTGGGGGGAAATATACTTTTTCTCAACAAATGCTGCTTGGACAAACAACTGAATATCCACATGCAAAAGAATGAAGTTGGGCCCCTTACCTCATACCACATACCAAAATCAACCCAAAATGGATTTGAAATTAAATATAAGACCAAAAAAATCTTTGAAGAAAACATTAAAAATTTCAAAGATAGTGTCTATGTTGCCATATAGAGAATGTGTGGGCTCAAGTGATCCACCCACCTCAGCCTCCTGAGTAGCTGAAACTACAGACATGTGTAACCATGTCTAGCTTCTGCATAAATTATTATAAACTTGGATTGTGTGATGGTGTCTTAGCTATGGCATCAAAATAAAAATGTCAAAAAAAAAAACAGGTAAAATTGGGCCTTATCAAAATGAAAAACTTTATGTTTCAAAAAACACTATGAGGAAAGAGAAAAGATAATCTATATTATCAGGAAAATATTTATAAATCATATGTATGATCTTGAATATCTAAAGAACTCTTACCATTCAATAATAAAGAGATAAATTAACCACTTAAAATATGCCCAAAATTGGAATATACATTTCTCCAAAGAGGATACACAAAAGGCCAATGAGCATATGAAAACAGATTCAACATCATTATCCATCAGGGCAATGCAAACCAAAACCACAATAAGACTCTACTTCAAGGCTGCAGGTATAGCTCAGTTGGTAGAGTGCTTGCCTCACATGCACAAGGCCCTGGGTTCAATCCCCAGCAACACACACATAAAAAAGATGCCACTTCATTTCTACTAGGATGGCTATAATCAAAATTAACAAGTGTTAGAGAGGATGTGGAGAAATTGGAACCTGAATTGTACAGTCTGTAAATTTTATCTTGATAAAACTGTTAAAAACACACACAGCTACAAAGAAAATCAGTTATATTGAACTAGAGTCATCAAAATATGGAAACAATTACTTGATAAAGAAATATATGTGCTTCTTTAATAAGGCAAAAATAACAAGATACAGTTCTAATAGCTATCTTAATTTTGAAGTAGTGATGAATGTAAAATAAATTTTGATGCATTTGCAATAACAACAAAAATGACTGATGTTTTCCAACCTCTAAAGAACAGGGATGGAAGGCATGGTAACATACACTTGTAATCTCAGCAGGTTGGGAGGCTGAGGCAGGAGTATCGCAGGTTCGAAGCCAGCCTCAGCAACTTTGCAAAGCTCTAAGCAACTTAGCAAGACACTGTCTCAAAATATAAAATTAAAATGGCTGGGGAAGTGGCTGAGTGGTGGTTAAACACCCCTGGGGTCAATCCCTGGTACTAAAGATAGATAGATAGATAGATAGATAGATAGATAGATAGATAGCAGGGTTGGAAAAGGGGGGCGAGTAATTCAATTAGTTAATTGTTTCCCCTGATGTGAAGCTCCAGAATTAAAATTCAAGTAAAAGATACCTTCTTTTTAGTGAGGATGGAGATGTTCAAGTTGGCTTATAGTCCAGTGCTTTTGGGACATTTACGCAAAATTAATTATGTTAGCAGACGGAACTACCAAGTGACTTGGTCCTATCTGAATAATCCCTTTAGTCATCCTGAAATGTAGTGAAATTTGGCAGGAGGTCAATAATTGATGCCTGGTTTCCAAGGCAAAGCAAGTTGGGAGGGGAAATGGGAAACAGATTCAAAGGGGGAAAAAAAAGCAGGGAGATACCTAAGGGCTTGTCATGCTCACACTCCTGTTCCCAATCCATCAGAAAAGGTGATGTGATCAGAATAGCACAGGATGTCTCAGATCAGAATCGAGGAAGCAATTTCCCCATAACATCTTCATTGATTGTCCCTTCCATCAAATGTCTACCCCAGGACTGATATTCAAAATATCTGATAAGTGGTAACAAATGGCCACAGACCATTTAGGGCAGTTGACTGCCACAATACTAAAATAGAGTTCTGGATGACTGCTACTGTAGCAGACATTACTTGTAAGATTACGGGGAGGCCCTAGACGTGGAATTGAACAAAGGTTCTTGGACAACTGTCTCAGAAGATGCTCAACTCCTCTAATAACACATGAAACAACTTCCCAGTACACATTACCCCAAAGATAGGATACAGAGAGAAAGAGAACAAAAGTTCCTAAGGTTTGATGAATGAAACATTGGGCAAGTGGTTGATACTGCATTCATCTTACTGATTTTGCAGCTAGAAATTTCTTCTCTTGGCAGATTAGAGTCAAAAAAGATTTCAATGGGGGCTGGGATTAGGGCTCAGTAGTAGTGCACTTCCCTGACCTGTGTGGGGCACTGGGTTCTATTCTCAGCACTGCACATAAATAAATAAAATCAAGGTCTATCAACAACTAATAAAATATTTTTTAAAACAAAAAAGATTTCAATGTACCACTTCAAGCAGTATCTTTTCATGTTTACACTCTGAAGAGCTACCTTACTATGAAAATAGGGCTATATTTGGGTTAAAAGTCTTATCGTACCTTTTCATCATTTAAGCAGCAGCAAATATTGGGCTGGGGATGTGGCTCAAGCAGTAGCGTGCTCGCCTGGCATGCGTGGGGTGCTGGGTTCGATCCTCAGCACCACATAAAAGTAAAATAAAGATGTTGTGTCCACCAAAAACTAAAAAATAAATATTAAAAACTTATCTCTCTCTCTCTCTCTCTCTCAAAAAAAGCAGCAAATAAAGCAAGCAATTTGAGATTGGGACCAAAGGCTATTAGCTTACACTATCAGCTGCCCCAGTTCTGAATATTGAGGTCTGCCTGGGGGGTAAGGGACTTTCTCATTCGTGTGGGCACCACTCCCCAGTTTCTTCCTTCTTATACACCCATCCCATCAGTTCACAATTCCTTTTCACATGAGGAGAAAACCTTCTAAGAGAGGAAGAAACTGATTAAGCTAGATGCTGAGACACAGCCTTTACTAGGCAGGAAAGAAAATGTCTTGGGCTCTGCATGGAGCTTCTGAGCAAGAAGAAGGGAGGTAAGCCATTTTAACAATAACTATTAATTTTTTATTAAGTTTCTTGTTAAATATAACAATAATTTCTTCTCTTTCATAAAAACAACTTAAATTTTTACAACATTATCAGTTTGGAAAAAGACGAACAAAGAAAAGTAAAGAATGAAGAAAAGTAACCAAAAGACAAATTCAAGCACAGAATAAATATAGCCTATTTTCTTTTCATGCTTTCTTAGCCCTTGTGGCTACTGCCAGAGTGCCAGACCCCTCAGCCTCATAATTAAGAGCCCAAAATCTCCTCCAGCTTTGACGTGTCCAAGGGTGGGATTTTGGCGACTTCAAAGAAGATCCTGCAAAAGGAAGAGTGGGTCTGCTCAGTGTAAACTAGGTCAAAGCCAAACAGACTCCATGGAACAAATAGGACTTAAGGCCCTTAGTTTTCTCTTACTTTTTAACCATAGAGTAGAAAGGAATATGAAATGTGTCTGAATTCCTTTTTCTTTTAAGTGAGACTAGTCTGGGCCTGGCATTTTAATGTGTTCCCATGAATGAACACAAGCCCAATATCAGTTACTTACTGGTGAGAATACTTGGAATACACAGTCTTGAGCCTATTGTAAGAACTGAAAGTCAGCATGAAGTTCAGCCGCCTAACCAGGGGGTGGAGCTCAGAGGACTTGTAGCCACTGTAATACTCCAAGATAGGAACCTAGAAGAAGAAGCACGAACAGTTTGACTTTTACCATAAGAAGCATAACCTTCCTCCATCCCTCCTACCCTAAATCCAAACTCTCCATCTATCATTTAGGAGGAATAATATTCAAAGATTCATACAGTACAGACACCAACCAATAATTATAGGGTACTATCTAGAAGAAAAGTTTTCATACACAAAGTTCTAGGATGGCCATATTCACATGTACCACTTGATGTTAGCCTTGGTCACAAGCATTCACATAAGCTGAAAACCTCCAAAGTCATAAGGAATAAGACTGATTTTGTAATTTACTATGAGGCCCAGAGCCAATGGCCAAGTAAAACCCCAAACAAAATCTGACTCTCAACCCAACAGCCAACAGGAACTTAACATTGTTTCTCATCTCTGGCTTTAACAACTGTCATTCCATACATTCATTTTCTCACTTGACTATAAGAATCCTCTGGCCAAAGCAATACGGCAATGTTTAAGAGCAAAGGTACTGGAGACAGTACCTGTTTAAATTCCAGCTCCATTAACAGCATGGCCTAGAGAGTTCTTTAACTTCATCATGGCTCAGTTTCTCAGTCTGTCAAATGGGGATTTTTATAGTACTTTTATTACAGGATTAAATGAATGTATAAACACACACAGAGGGAGGGAAGGAAGAAAGGAGGGGGAGGGAGAGAGAAAGGGAGCGAGGGAGAGAGAGAGAAAATAGAGTCTAGTACATAGGAGATGCCCAAATAATGCTAGCTAGGATTAATATTATCAAGCCCCATGTAAGATGCTGAGAATACCAAGATGAATAAGGGACCCATCTCCTTTGATGAGTTTAGTTTAGAGAAAGAGACAAACATGCAAACAGAGAGTTACAAAATGTATGCTAAGTGCTATGATGGAAGTGAGTACAGGACACTGGAGGAACAGAGCAGCAGAACCCATGAACTCCAACTCAGAGAGTCACAGAAAACTTCACAGAGGAGGGCACATCTGCAGTGCATGCTGAAAGTCAAGCAAGAGCTCAACAGGCAGAGAAAGGAAGAGGATTTATCTGTAAGCTGGTGGTTTTCTAAAAATATCTTCAAGTATTTGACATGAACTCCTTTGTTCCACAAATAGCTTACCTGGAAGCCCATATTTGGGGTTACCAGGAAGTCAGGGTGGGGTTAAGAAACTTATCAATTTAAAACCCTTTACCATTTACATGGTCCCTTAGATTCTTCTGCTAGAAACCCAGGAGTCCCCTGAGTACTGTCTGGAAACCACTGCCACAGACAAAAGGTAATCATGAAAGGTGCCAATCAAGGGACTAACACAATATTTGGGCATGTTAAATAAAATTAGAAAGTTGGACTTGGGTTGTGGCTTAGTGGCACAACACTTGCCTGGCACATATGAAGCACTGTGTTCAATCCTCAGCACATAAAAATAAATAAAAAATAAAGGTTTTGTGTCCATCTACAACTAAAAAATATTTTTAAAAATTACATATTGCCACTGCCACTGTGCCAGTTCAGGCCCTGGATTCTTCCCCTTGATTATTACAACACCCTACTCACTGGTATCCCCACGTTTATAGTTTCCCTCACTAGTATTCCTTCTATACTGCCATACAAGGATTGTTTCCAAAACACACAAACAAAGAATTGGGTCTCTTAGGCTGGAGATATAGCTCAGTGGTAGTGTATTTGCTTACCATGCCCAAGGTCCAGGGTTCAATACCCAGTACTACACACACACACACACACGTCAAGTGGGTTCCCTGAGCATGGCATTTATGACCACAACTTACCAACCTACCATTCTGGTCTCACCTTTCACCATTGCCTTTTAACACACCCTTTGCTGTATTCACAGGGGATGTCTTATTCAGACCTAAACATATCACACTCCTTCCTTAGCACCTTCACATTTTTTCCATTATTGCTCCCTCCACCTTGAATGTCTCCTATCACAAGTTTCCACTCATCTTTCAAGACACAACTCAAAAGTCACCTCTTCTGTATTGCATTCCTTCTCTGTAGGAGAGGCAGTGTATATAAAACAGGATTATGGAGATTGTAGTCCTCAGCTGATGCTCATTGGTTTAGCCACCAAGTATGAAAACACCAAAATATTTCTAGCCTAGTTGGTATACAGTTTGCTTCCCTGAAACCCCTCAATTGTCCCCTTTAAGAATATGAACTTCAGCAGGATCCATGGATCAAAGTCTGGCTCAACAGGGGCCTCCAGGACCACAGTTCCAGAGCTATGGCTAATACCCATGCTGATTATATAGTAGATTTAGATTTTTAACACCCTGCTAGACATTATTATTGCTTATTATTTTTCATCATGATCACTTTATTAAATACATTCTCTGTCCTCCCGAAATGTCCCCCATTTCATTATGACTTATCTGGGATTACACAATTGTTGTGCAGTTCTTTCTTAGCACTCAGAAGTTTCCCCATCAGTCGTGGCTCAGGATTTCTAGATAAGAGGGACTTAGAGGTGATTGAACTGACAGTGGGTGCTTTATTTGTAAGCATAATCTCTCTATGAATTGCATGTAACACAGCAGTAAGAATTTAAAGCTCTCTAAAGCTGTTTTTATCTACAACATTTTATAATATTGAGAAAGCATCAATTATGAGTTTTACTTGTATGGGGGTAGATGGCTCTGAGGGCCTTCCTCTTTTGAAGACCACACTGCTGATATGCCTCTGAGTACCCTGTTATACACACAGTTACTTTCACTACTCTATATTCTCTGGGCCAGGGCTTTTCAAGTCCTATTCTAATAAATTCCCTCAGGGGCCAGCTTTGCTGAGGGGACTGCAAAGAACAGGGTTGGAATAGGGTCAGGGATAAGAAGTGGGCCCACCCCAACCCCTGCGACAACCTGAATAACTTCTCATTACTCTGTTTTGTAATACCAGAATTTTAAGGAAGCTTTCTTTGTAACAAGGGGTACTATGACTAAGAAAAAGGAAACAAGTATTTCAAACCCATGTCCCTAGGTTGTACAGGTATGAAATAAATCAAAACTATGGATACATGGCAGCTTTGTCACCAAGAGCTTCCCACAGCCCTAATTTTCACTCCCCCCTACCCCCAACCCCCATCACAAATATTTACACAGTGTTCAAGCTTCTTCATGTAGAGGGCCAGGAGGAAGGAGCCAGCTGCTAGTTTGGAAGCTCTCTCTTGGACATAGTCATATTCCTGCAGGGTCATCTCACAGATGAAGCGAGACAAGGTCAGTGTCTTCATGCTGGCATGGACACACTAAAGACAGCAAGAAGACTGGTTCAACAATCAATTCAGAAAACAGCACCAGGTGGAAGACCTCCTTTCCAGTTATCCTATCCCCAGTCCAAATAGCTTTCTGCTTGAGCAATGTATCTCTCCTGCCATCATGACTCATCCTAAAGTTATACACCTACAAAAGCACAGGGCCAGCAGTCTGTGTCTGCAAAAGCAGACTTTTTACAGGGAAATTCTGAAATTGGCAGTGCAATTTGTTACCTTTAGGATTTTAAATGAAATTATCAATTGTGGGTTCTCCCTCCTCCCCTTTCTGTGGGAGTCATCCTCCAAAGAGTCAGTCTTACAACTACAACTATGCACCTGGTTCTACCCTAGAAGATGTCCCACTCTCCCAAATAGCCCCTTCCCTTTTTTATTTGAAAAAAAATAATCTATAACACAGAGATAAAAGTGCAGAACACACACTTGTAGGATATAATGAATAATTATAAAATGGCCTCCTCTGTAACCAAAACTCAAGAAAGAAAACATTGCCCACATTCCCCCCAAATGTCTCAGGTGTCCCTTTCTGATCAAATCCCCTGATTCTGTCCTCATCTCAAATCTTATAGGTACATTGTGTTAATCTACAACTTGCCCCCCACCCCAACTCCCTCATAAAGATTACCAAACTTTAAGCCAAAAAGTTGTCAGCCAGCCACTCTGCTTATAGAGTGGCTATAACCCAGAAGTGGAGGAACAAAGATGTTCCTCCTCCTTCTTACCCTAGCATATCTACGCAGAAAATGATAGGCAATGGGAATGTTGATGTCAAAGTTGAGGGCTTGCAGGATACTGATTTCCATGGCAAGCAGTTCATCTCGCTTGTAAATATCATCACAGATGTACAGGAAGTCATCCACACAAGGAGGGCTGGGTTCCTGTGGGTGGAGAGGACAGTCAGTCACAACCAGACAGATATCCCTCTCCTCTCTGCTTATAGATGAAGGCAAAGGGGAAGAAGGGTGAAGGGTAAGAGGCAACCTATCCTTCATGTTAGTCTTTTAAAATTTTGCTTATTCTAATTTATTAGTTTTATGAAACCTTATGGTTTGGGAGCAGAGAAGTAGCAACTTTCATTAAGGAGTTCAAAGAACTTTAGAACTATGGATTGCTACAAAAATCACAGCACAATGCTGGCTCCCTCACTCCTTTCCCAGTTCCTGTCTCCTGGCAGAATTCTTACTACCTCCTTCTCTTCTTGCTCTCTTCCCTCTTCTCCCTTCTCTCTCACTTCCCCTCCTTCTCTGGTCATGCCCCTTTCCTGCTTACCCTCAGAGATATCCTATACCTTAGCTTCATTTGGGTCCTGGCCAACAAAGAGGAAGGGAGAGCAGAGGAGGAAAAGAGGTGGAGTGGGAAAGGGAGGGGTACTTCTTAGCAAATCTTAGAGCCAAGAACACCCATCCTCTGGTGGCCAGGACAGAGGGTCCCTACTAAGTGCTATGGAGGAGGGATATCTTTTCCTCACAGAATTGAAAAGTACAAAAGGACTTTTGTAAGGAAACCTGTGGAGATGGGATGATGAGAGAAGAAAGAAAGCAGCAGTGTGAGAACCTGAACAAGTCACTTCCACTCTCTGGGCCTCAGCTTCCTTTTCTGTAATACTATAGGATTGGTCCAATCTGTGATCTGCAAACAGGGAAGGGGAGGGAAGAGGAGGAAAGAGAGACAAAAAGAGCGAGAGCTGTAGGAAGAAGGCTGGGGTAGGCAGTAACCACCTGGTAAGAAAAAGAGTTAAGAGTCTTTCTGCCTCCTCCTGATCTTCCTATGATCAAGTTCAGGCTCCAGAGGATAGGGGATAATAGGGAGCACCCAGGAAAGTAGTTCTTCTAATCCTCAGCCCCTCTGTCCAGCTTCATCCAGTACATTCTCCTCACCTCTAGCTCCCCTTTCTGTGGCCTCCTTCCCTCCCTTCCCCTGACAAGGCCTTAGATTTCCTATGCCTGGTTCTCACTCATCAGGACAGTAGATCACTGCTCTCAGTCCCTATGCCTTGTGATGGTGCTTCTGGCACTGTAAAAATCCACCCCAAAAGGTCCTATCTTCCTTCTGGTGGTAATACACTTTTGTAAATAGGCCTCTCTCCTCTCAGCTCTCTGGTTTTGTTTTTCTGTGGAGGAACTCAAACAGAATCTGGTGGCTCTCAGAGCAACTCTGAAGGTCTGTGCCAGGAAGTACCCCTTTTATTCCACTACCATCCCTTTTGCTTTTAGCCAAGGCCCAAACAGAAGCTAAGGTGTAAGGTATCTCTTGGGGTAAGCAGGAAAGGAGGGGGCATGACCAAAGTAGGAGGGGAAGAGATAAAGAAGGGAGGGAGCAGGTAGAAAGGGAAGTAGTGAGGATTCTGATAGGAAGTAGGAACTGGGGAGGGAGTAAGGGAGCCAGCATAAAAACAAATCCATATTTCTAAAGTTCTTTGAATTTCTTAATAAAAGTTACTTCCTCTCTGCTGCCAAACCTTAAAGTATTATATAATTAAGATGACTGCTAGCATAAATAAAGGAGAAATAACAGTTAACAAGTTAAACAAGTTCAGTTGGCACCCAGGAAAGGAGAAAGCATCAGAGATGTAGCTAGGAGGATTACAGTCAGTCAGTGTGTCTCTCTCTCTCTCTCTCTCTCTCTCTCTCTCTCTCTCTCTCTCTTTCTCTCTCTCTGTCACACACACACACACACACACACACACACACACACAGAGACCAGAAACTCACTTCAGTGCAACTTCAAAAATGACTACTTTACTTGGAGCATTTAGACTCACTACCTTCTATATCAAGCCATTGTCTCTTAAATAGCTCCAAGCATCCTGGTTTGGAAAAAATTTGTTCTATATGCAGATCAAGACTCTAGTAGATGGGGATAGAGTTGGAAGAACAGAAAAGGCTGGAAAGCAGAGAATCATGGACCAGAAAGAAGTTTTAAAAAGAACCACCCATTTAATTAGGCACATGCATACATAACATCTTCAAAGAGGAAATGGAAGAACCTTGCTGATTCTAGGAAACCAATAGAGCACCATAGCCAATAAGCATCAGTTTTCCTGCTTTAGGAAGACAGATAAAAAAAATGATAGGAAAAATTATTTGTATGCAAGTATGTAATTGGAAACACATGGATAGATACACGCACACAAGTGTATGCATAAGTTTGTGTACATATGTGTGTATGCATGCCTAACTACACATATGTGTTCATTCACTATTTTAGGTAGAAATCAGATTAGTTCTCTCTTAGGGACTCATGCTCACCTCAAATTTTGCTGCAATCAGAAAGGCAGTTGAACCAAGGAGTTGTAGCTTGTCTTTCTGGCATACTACCTTCATCAGGTAGTGATCCACCAGCTTTACTGCCAAGTACAAGGTCTCATGACAAACCTCAAAGGTCATCTGGAGGAATACACAAACAGGACAAGAATCAACACATCTTACAGATCCATAAAAATCTCCATACTGATCTAGATTCCTGGACTATCTGTAACATCATGGATAGTCCTGGCCAGTTGGGACTGTGCTAGGAATGCAGAAAACTACTTCAGTAAGGTACCTGCATAAATCTCCCATGCCTTTGAGGACCCCGGTATTATCTGCCCTCACATATTTGAATAGGTAAATAGTCTTTCAAGCCAGAGAGAGAGAGATAAGCTGTTTTGCCTTCTCTGGGGGCACCTTGAGTGGATATACACTCTCTCTCTCTTTGATCTCTGATACTGAAGTTCTTGCTTTCCGCATTTGTTACCAACTTGTAAACTACATGAAGAGATCACGTTTATTTAGTTGAAATACAGAGTCTATTAGCTGATTTATTATTAGTTTCTTTTCTCAACTAGCTATGCTATTAGAATATATTGATTGGGAGCAAGTATCAATAGCACAATTTGGAAGAGAACTAAGAGATACGGGGAGCCAGAGTGAAATTAAATCATTAGCAATATAACTCCCCTTCCTTTCTTTTTCTTAGTTATCATTATCTTTCCTTCACCAACTCCAAGAAATCTTCTCCTATAACCCCAGTCCCAGAATTTATGCTGGCCCATGCAATACCTTTGTGGAAATTAGAAGAAAAAAAAGGTGGCTTCTTTGGGTAAATAAAGCCCTTCAGATAGAAATCAATTACATAATATCTTTATATGAATCAGCAAATGTACACAGCAGCCCTATAGCCAGAATGCATGGCTTGGCAAGCAGTATGAATTCAATTTCACTGGCTGCTTTTGCCTTGGCTAAAGCCCTTGTATAAACACAATTTACACAACTGTACACAGAGGGCCCACCAACCATCAGTGATACTTCTTCCCCATAACTCCCAGGTTCCAAGGATTCAAGAACAACAAAAATCTTTCCTAGCATAACACCTAACTAATAGCCCCCTCCCAACATCTCCACAAGATAGCTATTCAGTTCCTGCCTTCCAAATCTGCAAATACAGACTAATCCCTCTTTGAATGGTTTTAACAGAAAATTCTCTCGTATCTTAAGTGAAATCACCCTCCCTGTAAGCTTCACTTCCTTGGGCCTTCTTTTGTACAGGCTAATCTTGTGGCCAGGAACCCAGATGACCAAAAAGCAGGCAAATGAGAAGCATTGGAGAAATGGATGTATATATTACATAAGCAAATGATTATCAGAAAATGGATGAATACAACAATTCAGCATATGATCATGGAAATACCAAGAAGCAGTTCTAAACTGTTCCATGAATATGGCTTTGAATTTTCTCAGAAATCTGTTTTGGTTTCCTATTACTGCTGAAATTAAATTACCAACAACTCAACAACTTAAACAACACAAATTCATTATATTAGGGATCTGAATGTCAGAAGTCCAAAATAGGTCCTCTTGAACTAAAATTCAAGGTGTCAGCAGGTATGTGTTCCTTTCTGGAGGTTCTACTACAGAATCCATCGTCTTGCTTTTTCTAGCATCTAGAGGAAGCACATATTCCTTGGTTTATGGCTCCTTCCTCATTCAAAATCAGCTAAGTCTCACATTAAATCACAATCCACTTCCCTCTCCCACATTTAAGGACTTTTGTGATTACAATGGACCCACTCACTCAGACAACCCAGAATAATTCCTCTTTCTTGGTCTATTTTGTTTTTGTTGTTGTTGTCGTTGTTGTTTTGGGGCACTTGACCACTGAGCCATATCCCCAGCCCTATTTTGTATTTTATTTAGACAGAAGGTCTCACTGAATTGCTTAGGGCCTCACTTTTGCTGAGGCTGGTTTTGAACTTAGATCCTCTTGCCTCAGCCTCCCAAGTTGTTGGGGTTACAGGTGTGCGCCACAGCTCCAGGCAATATTTCCCCTTTCTTAAATTCCGTTCATTAGTGATTTTAATTCAACTTTACTGTGTAAGGTAATGTATTCACAGGTTCTGGGGATTAGGACATGGATATTTTATTCTGTCTACCACACTGTCCAAAGAAATAAGATGGGAAGAAAAGGATGGGAAGAGTTTATGTAGATGAAAGATAATGACTATCACCGTAAATATCAAGAAATCAGGGTTCAGGTAATTATAAAAAATAAAGATAAAAGAGGGTAGGAATGGAAAGCAGCAGTCATCTGAGGATAATGCTTGTGAACAAACAACACAGCCATTATTTACATAAATTCCTTCTAGTCCCTTACGTAGGCCCTTAGCTGCCCATATATACATGTGGGTATTAGATGGTAGCATCTAAGTGTGTGGGTAATATCTGAATGAATGGTCAAAATTTAGAGACAATAAGTATTTAACTTTGCTGGTTGTGGTGGTGCATTCCTGTAATCTCTGCAGCTCAGGAAGCTGAGACAGAGGGATTGTGAGTTCAGTGCCAGCATCATGAATTTAGCAAGGCCCTAAGCAACTTAAGCAAGACCCTGTCTCAAAATAAAACATGAGGATGTGGCTCAATGGTCAAGCACCCTTGGGTTCAATCCCCTGTATCAAAAAAGTTTAAATTAGCTGTGTCCATTATAGTAATACCTCTTCCTTGAATGTTAGGCAATATCTTTCTAATGTTATTCTACCACTTGAAACTATGTGAAAGAAGTCTAATCCTTCTTGTGACAGCTCTTCAGCTATTGAAGACAGTTATCATAACTCCCATAAATCTTCCCCATTCAAGACCAAGCAACTTGACTTCCTTTATTCTTTACATTATATGGTTTTCTGTTCCCTCAGTGTCAGGCTCCAAATGAAAGTCTTTGTGCTGGTTAGAGAAGAAGGGGTGATATTCTAGGTAATTTCAAGCAGCTCCAACAAATGTGATAAGAAGCCCTTCAACACAGTACTAATATTCTCTCCCTCTCTTTACAACAGCCTCTGGCTAGAGTACTCTTCCAATTCTCAATAAATAACTATTATTCTTAGTGGAAATAGGTAAGAGAAAATGAAAAGGAAGCAATAGATAAATCAAAACTAGTAATAAAAGATACACTATGTCATGAACTAGAAGACAAATTGGTCAAAATCCATCTCAAATTCCAAAACTCAAAGAACATCTTCTATAAAGAGGAATAAACAGAAAAACATCAACCAGACATATGAAAAGGAACAAGTAATTTTAAAAAGAGAAACATTTTTAGGAATCAGCAAGCATCTACCTAAAAAAAACATTTTCATTCCCAAGAACAGAATGAAATTTTAAAAAGTATATTCTTAACAAGATCTGAAAGGACACTGAACCTATGAAAATAGAAATTCTGGGATCAAGGAAGACTATAGTTTATGGTGCTGGTATTGTGACTCAGTGGTAGAGCATTCGCCTAGCATGTGTGAGGCATGGGGTTTGATCCTCAGCACCACATAAAACATAAATAAGTAAAATTAAAGGTATTGTGTCCATCTACAACTAAATTTTTTTAAAACACTGGTTTATGATATAACACAGTAACTTAGTTTTAAAAAAAATTGTAACAGTAAACAGGATGTTAGATAATGCCAAAAAAACAAATCAACATTCCAAAGACTACTTTAAGAAATTCTCTTGAAACTGAGAGATAAAAGATAATAAATGAAAACTTCAGAGACATAGAGAATAGATCCTGGAGATACATACAAACTATCCCCTATGCTCTCTTCAAAAGGAAGGACAAAGATCAGAATTCTTCCAGGCAAAATACAGAGCAACAGGGCTAGGACTGTAGCTCAGTGTTAGAGCGCTTGCCTAGCACATGTGAGGCACTAGGTTTGATCCTTAGCACCACATAAAAATAAATAAATAAAAGAAAGGTATTGTGTGTATCTACAAATAAAAATATTAAAAAAAAAAAAAACAAAGTACAGGGCATCACTATAGGACCAACGGAGGTTCAGTTAGCCTGGGGCAGTGGGCCCTGCGTGTGCTTACATGAGCCATGTTCCTAGGGAATATGGTGGTAAACCACTTATAGACAACCTGCTTCTGGGTCAAGATTTCATAGGTGGCAAAGCAGCTCCCACTCTGCTAACTATTGAAAGTCAGCCACAGGCACAAAGTTTGTAAAAAAAAATAGAAAAAGAAAAAATGAGAGAAAAAGTAGAAGGGTAAAATTATCAAAGAAAGTGTAGATACAAATTTCTTTCTTGGGCAAAGAAAGACTGGACCTTTAGGTTAAAAGAACTTACAATATAACAGAAAAAAATTAAGAGAAAAAGGCCCACATCTAGAAATGTCAAAATAATTATTCATAGGGAACATAATGTATTAAACATTGATGATTTGTATTTAAAAGTCTAGCTTATTTTAAAAAGCAGATAAAGAAATTAACTAAAATGTGCAAATTATCTCATCTTGCTCAAAGGGAAATTAATAAATTCTATCAAAGGGGTTGCTTAAATAAAGATCATATTCATTTAAGAGAATTATAAAGAAGCTTAAGAGAATGTAGTGTAACTACACTTATATTGAAAGACTACTAAGATTTATTATTAAAACAGCAAGTTGCAGATCAATGAATACAGCATGATCTATTCATATAACAAAAATATTGTGAAACACATACCGAGTTAAAAAACTATATCCCTATAAGGTCATACATGAGTATATATGTATGTATTAATATATTACTCATATAATTTAAGATTTTTAAAGAAAGGACAGTTAAAACTTTATGATAAGACACACAAAAAATGAACTGGATGGATACACTCTAAATGTTTATATTATTATCCCCAGAAAGTAAGAAAAGGAGTGTTGAAGCAAAATAAATTTGGCCTAAATTATTTGGCCTAATTATTCCTCTGTACTTGAGGAATAATTTTGGCCTAAAGCATGCTTTTGTGAATTACAACCTAGCTTGATATGTAAGCAGGTGGTAACCTAAACAAGAGTATATCCCTGTAACTAAGCAACTGAGTCTTAGCCAATCACAGAGGCTGAACTTCCAGCCAATCTGAGATTGAAAATTGACAAAACATGAC